ACAATATATAAATATATATATATATATATATTAAATTTTTTAGAGTAAAGTAAGGGTCTTTCTCGAAAGCACTTTCGAACAGTCGTGAGTTTACTGCGGCAATTAGGGTGCAGCCGCTTATTTTCTAAAAACCCGCACTCACAAGCGTGCACGCACACATCAGGATCCCGGTCGTCTGAGGCAAAGGTAATTACCTCTCCAACTTGCACGACACTTGATTACTTTACGTTTCGCTTTTTCGTTCGCTTGTAAGCCGCTCCAACGTTTTTCCATTTGTTTTGAACTTGCAGGTGCATGACGGGCTTGTTAGGAAATGCCTCATTGAGGCGTTCGGCTAACTTGCGCCACAGTTGCTTTTTATTTTTTTGCTCCAGGGCCTTTTGAATTTTTGTACAACTCTATATCTGACATTTCGACTGATGTCATCCCAAACATTTTCTCCACTTTCGTCATCTTCTTCGGTGACGTCCGTGGAGAGTTCGATGACGCCACTCGGACCCCGTCTGGAAAATGCACGAGACAGTGTACTTGTTGCTCGGGTTGACAACAGCACCTGTCACCTTCCGTGACAAAAAGCGGCAAGCCGCCGTCGACTGCAGGCTCGCCATCCTCCCCGTAATCGCGAGACAGAACGGTTTCTTGATGGATGCTCGGTGGCCGATGATAGCGCGAGTCGTTTGATAGTTCATTTTGTCGTCTGCAACGTCCTCTGCTATCATGCACCCGCTTACATTGCCAAAACGAGCGAGTGCAGGAAGTGTATGCCACGTGAGGAAATGGAGCTACACTTTTGTAAATCGGTAAATCGCAGAGCCGAACAGTGCGGTGCAGATCCCCAGGGCTGCACCCTTAAATTGAATGTGCTCGGGGCTACACTTCTGCACCGGTGCAGGAACAGGTAAATCGAATGCGCTTACTACCTGCGTTAGCACCTCGGGGTAGCTTTATACTTCGCGCACAGCGTGCATACGTATTGTGTTCTTCAGCTCCTTTCAGCCATTTAAAGGGCGTTTCCTCCAAAAATACTCACCTTCCCCAGTGCCTGCATTTCGCTGACCCACCGTCGACTGTGGCCTTGGTCGTTCCCGTCATGATCGCAGTAGTGTCTTGCTCGAGGTAGCGGGTTTTTGCAAAGCGTCCCGTCGACGCCTAGACTCGATGATGCTAAAATTAGAATTAACTGGTGTGCTAGTTGGTTAAACATGCTGTGAACAATTGCAAATGGTTAGGAAGAGAAGAAGGGGACAGGACAGAGCGCTAGGACTCGCTATCGTACAGCCCCCGCAACGCCGACACAACGCGCGTCTGTTGTCCGCTGTTTTAGTTTTAAAGCTTGCCATTCCATTCCGTTCCATTTGGCGCTGTCTGGGCGGCACCATTTTGTTCGACAGCAGCGCCCTCTCCATACATCCGGGAAATTCAGCGTGTTCGTCGGTTCAAAACGAGAGAAAGGGCTCATACCCGACTCCGCTAGCAGACGACAAACCGGGAGGTTGCCATTCTCCATCTTTGGGCTGTACCGGCGGGCTGTACGGAACATTGAACTCTCGCTCGTGGCTGCCGTTGTGATGTGGTTCGCGTTCTTAGAATAGTTATGGCTACTGCAAAATCAGCCTAGAGCTCTCTGTTCTATTTCGGTAAATGATCAACTGGCATATCTTTTTTCCGTTACTTAAATGGCAGTTGAGTCAGCCGGCAGTACTACCCTCAACTACTGCATGTACGTTTTTACTTATTATTTAGAGAGCACGTTTTTATTTATTATTTCAGACTTCCACTCATGGTCGCTAAAGGCCTACACTAGTACGAACTTTGTATAGTAAAAAAGGTACAGCAACCGGATTTACTTTTCGCCGGAGAGACCGGCCAATCTGACACAGTTTTCCCTATTTTTTTTATTTGTACGCAGGTAAGAGCGCAATTGGACCCTGTTAGTTTTTTTATTTAGCATAGTGTTACACCATCGGAGTCATGCGGTTTAGAGGAGCTCGTTTTAGCGAACACCATTTTACCGACCCCAGCTTATCGAATTCCTTTATAGAGAAACCCAGTTTAGCGAAAATGGCGATGAGCCTCCTTTTAGCGAATTCGGCCGCCGCAAAGCGGCGTGTGCGGATAAGTCAGGTGAGTTAACATTTTTGTAATGAGCCACCGCAGACTGCCGCCGCGGAGCGGCGGGAGCGCAGCGGGGGCTTGGATTAACACGCGCGAAGTAGAAAACTCTTTTTCAGATAGCGCCTCCTTTTCGATTAACGGCATTTTTCTAAACTGAGGCTCTACTTTCTCTAAACTGTGCTTCGATAAAACGTGCCCGTTCTGTAAAACATGCTTCGATGAAATGGCATTCTATCAACCGTAGTAAACCCTTGCACCATAACTGGCATACCAAAATCTGCGCATCTCCGCTTGAAATTTCCAAAATGACGCGATTTTAAACAGAGTTTGTACGCCAGCCGGACGCTAGGTACAACCCACTCGGCGGAGCAAACGACATGCGGGTGAGGGGGGGAGGGCATTTTTTTCTCTTTTTACCCTCTCTGCTATGACCCTAATGGAACGTTTGATTCACTGATCCTACGCCTGACACCGTGATCGCCAGCTCCCCGGGCTCGAGAACGGCCTTAGTTTCTGTTTTAAATGTAATAATTTTTATAAAAACACGTAGTATAGATCGTTCCATTAGGGTCATGGCAGAGAGGGTAAAAAGAGAAAAAAATGCCCTCTCCCTCTCACCTGCGTGTCGTCTGCTCCGCCAAGTGGGCAGTACCTAGCATCCGGCTGGCGTACAAACTCTGTTTAAAATCGCGTCATTTTGGAAATTTCAAGCGCAGATGCGCAGATTTTGGTATACCAGTTATCGTGTATTACTGTGCTAGATAAAAAGACTAACAGAGTCCAATTGCGCTGTTATCTGCGTGCAAATAAAAAAAAAATAGGAAAAACTGTGTCAGACTGGCCAGTCTCGCAGGCGAAAAGTGAATCCGGTGGCTGCTCCTTTTTTTACTATACCAACTTCGTACTGGTGTAGGCCTTTAGCGACCATGAGTGGATGTCTGAAATAATAAATAAAAACCCGAATGAAAAATCCACCAATGTAACCCTGTTTGGCAGTCAATGTTTTCTAGTGGACCGCTGACTGTGCCTGACTGTACGTCAAGCATGTCTGATTAGCCAACAAGTTACTCTGACCGACAGTCAAACTTCAGTCAGACTCCGCTTGTCTGCTTTCTGATGGTTTCCTGTTGGCAGTCGGCCGCCGCGAAATGCCATCAAGATGTCTTGGTGGCGATTCTGATTGTACATCGATTGTCTCTGACTGTACATCAAAAAGCTTTGACGCGCAGACAGAGGTACTGTCAAAGGACGTAAAGTTTGTTCGGATACCGCTATTCCATCAAATCTATGAATACGAAAAATAATCTATGCACGAGAAAATGATTTCGGGACGTGAGGCCATAAAACCGCTGGTGTTAGAGATATGACACGCAACCGACCGACAACCTTGATCAGAAGCCCGCCGAAACGCCAAACACGCCACTTTCGCTTCGCCCATAGAGGCTTCGCCGAGCTTCCATGAACGATCGCTCTCGACTCGTTTTGTTTGCCCGCTTGCTTCAACCTGTCGATCCTGCCCGGGCTCTACAATGTCTTATGTTCTAGTAGAATTTCTACTCGACAAGACCCAGCCTGTTGTGACTTCTGACGATGTAAGGGACTTTAGCGGTGTAGTTGAAGACGACAAGGTGTACCAGGTCTACTGGGCCGGAGACACGCAAACAAAAGGATCGTTCTACGACGCGAAAGTAGTCTACATGGCAGGTGAGTAGAACTGAAGTATGGCGAGTGATGTACGAGTGCTTTGCATAACATGCTGAAGGCTTAACTGTATATGCAGCCGAAGCACTCTTTAGAGCGATGCGCTCATTGTCGGAATTTCGCGCTACAATACTAAAATGCTCCTGACTCGGTCCGAGAGTTTTGGGCTAGAAAGTTTATACCTTTCTATCTGGCATGGGCTATTGGCCTTACCGCTGTGTTGCACCTCATTATTATTGTTTCATGAAGAGTGCAGACAAAAAGCATCCGCGAGCGTAGTTCAGATATGTCTGCTGCTCGTGTTCGTCCGTGGAAGCCGGGGCTGTCTGTCGTAGCATGCATGCTTGCATATAGCTTGACACTTATATAAATGCTGCCCTTGTTCATGAAATTCCCTTGACAGTGGCAGTCAGACGTCATCTGATGGACCATCAGGGCACGTTCCACCAAGGCTGCTGACTGGCAGTCAGTGTCCCAAATTACGTATCTTGATGGAATTTTTAATAGGGAACGTGCTCTCCTGCCGCAATACACGCAGTAGTTGAGGGTAGTACTGCCAAATGACTCAACTGCTATTTAAGTAACGGAAAAAAGATATGTCAGTTGATCATTTACCGAAGTAGAACAACAGAGAGCTATAGGCTGATTTTGGAGTAGCCATAACTATTCTAAGAACGCGAACCACTTCACAACGGCAGCCACGAGCGAGAGTTCGATGTTCCGTACAGCCCGCCGTACAGCCCAAAGATGGAGAATGGCAACCTCCCGTTTTGTCGTCTGCTAGCGGAGTCGGGCGCGTGCCCTCTCTCTCGTTTTACCCCGCCGAACCCGCTGAATTTCCTGGATGTATGGAGAGGGCGCTGCTGTCGAACAAAATCGTGCCTCCCAGAGAGTGCTAAATGGAATGGTCTATATGGTCTATATGCACATGCGTAAGGGTACAAACCTTTCTGTCTAGCCTTGCACGCCGCTGAGTGGGCAAACTTTCTCGTGCAAATAAAAATTATTATTATTATTATTACTCAAATGTCAAGAACTCGCGCAGTGGCTCACGTCGATTCGCAGCAGACGCGCGTAAGGTGACGCAGGGACCAGAGGGCGCGTGCCGCCGCCCAAATCAAGGGCTTCAGCCTCAGCCGTGTTCTGTGATCCATCGCTCGTTTTGCATTCTCTCAGCGACAACAACAACAACAACGGACCTGACGGACCCGTGTGAACGAGAAGTTTGTTTTACTCAGTTTTACGTTCGAAGACCACTGCTCAACAAACAGGTACTGTTCCCACGACTGAATCCGTTCGGTGCGCGGCACTAGCTTTGAAATAAGGCCACACAGGCATCACTCGTCCGACGAGCGTCGGAGGAAGCACTTTTGCATGTATTTGTGTGCGCTGTCGGACACTGTTAGTGCGGGGGGGAGGAAGTGGCCGAGTGGGCTAACGCGTCTCAGCTCGGAGCGTGGAGCGAAAGCTTGCGCTGGGAACCTCCTGGGTTAGATCCCCGCCGCCCCCACCCGTTTTGATCTGGATGAGTTTCGTACCGGCACGCGTTCGTGTGATCACTACTGCGTGATGCACGTTAAAAATCCCAGGAATTAGCGGTTGTACTGCACTGGCTAAATTTCTCATCTACAGCTAAGAGACCGATTACGCGCTGAGGCGCATCTCCATCAAGGCTGTATAAACATAAAGAGCAAGCCAATTTTTTTGTTAGTGCGAACACGACGTCGACGCTTTCCAGTACGTGCCAAACGAATGAAGGACATCTGGAAAATTAAGAGAGACGACAAGAACTTTGCAGTAGCACTGGATCAGTAGCTGCCTGTGCACGAATGATCGAAATAAACTGAAGGCCACGTAATATAGTCCAATTTTCAATAAGTTTAGTACTGCTTCTTTTTTTTTTGTGCTCTGTGCGAAGATGCCTGTTCTGTGTTCGAAACATCACCCACATCCTCGAACTCTTTGAGAACAAGTGTGGAATAAAAACTGCCGAGCATAGAAAATAATAAAATAAAAAAGAACACACCTTTCATACCCCACATACTTTATTCTTTACGGTTTGAATGTTAACAGCTCATAAGGATTCAAGACTGGTTCATATTCAAATAGTGAAAGCACTGGCATATTAGCAATATATAAGAGTCGCCGGAATTCTGGCGTGCTTTAAACACGCTCTATATTTTTTTCGACTGTTAAGGCTCAATCACATTGCTCCATTTTCTTACGTTAAGTTACATTACGAAATATTACGCTGAAGTCACCGGGGGACCCCTGTGCTTCACATTAAGCGATGCTACCAGTTCGAGGAGAAAGCATGACAAGCGGCATTCGAGACACGAATGTTTCGATGACTTATTCATAACGTAACTTAACGTAAAAAAAAAAAAAAGGGGGCAGTGTGAATAGGCCTTAGAATCGTGGCTTGTTTTTACACATCTGCTGTGGAACCCAGGTTTAAGCGTGAGATATAGCGAAGTTAAACATCGTTCACACCCAGTTGACGAAGAAGACTCCTCATCTTCCGGGGACGAATAATACAACAACTCGGAATTGAGTTGTAAAATAAAGTTTATTCTCTCTCTCTCTCCACACAATGCACGTCTGTGCGCTGTTTTAGTTTCGCTTTGCGGCTTACGATACTCATGATTGCACTGATTCTACACTTGACTCCGTGATCGCCGGCTCCCCGGGCTACAGAACTGCCTTTGTTTCTGATTTTATATATAATAATTTTTATTAAAACACGCAATATATTACCCAAATGTCCAAAACTCACGCAGCGGTTCACGCCGGTTCACTGCAGACGCTTGTTAGGTGATGCAGGGACTAGAGGGCGCCAGTCGCCGCCCAATTCAAAGGCTTCAGCTTCAGCCGTGTTCCATAATCCATCGCTCGTTCAGCATTCTTTTCAGCAACAAACGCAACAAACGCAGCGTGACGTTGATTCCACGTTTGAGTGACGTTGATTCCACGTTTGAGTGACGTTGATTCCACTTTTGAAGGCTTCGCTACTCAACAAACAGGTACTGTTCCTAAGTCTGAATCGTTAGGTGCGAGGCGATAGCTTTGAAATAAACTTCACAAGGCCCTCATCACGGCTGTGGCTTTATTTGAGACTGCTTCAACGTCAGCGTTCCGCGATTTTGCGCACGAGTAGTGTCATCTGCAACCGTAAAAACGGCATGCTCACCTGGCCGTTTTAATTAAGAAATGGACCAATTAAAATTGAAAGGAGACTCGCAGGTAAAGGAGCAACGGATCAATGTGGCGATGGAGGCGAGTTGGTTCATGATTACGAACTGGTAGCAGCGCGCAGAAAAATTGACAAAGTGATGTTTGGACAGGACGAGAGTTGAACTTCGACTGAACGTTCATCGCCTTGGTCGCTCGCTCCCGTCGCTTTCATGCGGTTTTCCTCGTCGCGTGAGTGACCGAGCGACACCGAAGTGGGTCGTCATCTCTCGCCAAATCGCTTACATGCATGCGGTTTTTATACGTGAGAAATTTTCGTCGCTCGTCGCTGACTCAATTCCCTGTCGCAGCCGCTCGTTTCGTCGCTCTCTAACCGCTTACATGCGGTTCAGCCTTTACACACGGTACTGGGCGGCAACAAGGAAATTAAAACGGTCCGATAGCGAGATAAACCTTTTTCTCTCTTCTGTTCTACGAAGCTTCTTCAACGATGTGCTTGTAGTTCTATAGGGTCCTGCTTGCTAAGGTGGTGTTTACATCTTTCAACATAAAAGAGGTATTTTGTGTATTTCAAGGAGATGAATATTTTTGTATTTAGCATGTTTGCAGTCGAGATTGCACTATGGTACATGTTTTTAGAAAGTCTTTATAGAGAAAGTCTTTATAGATACTTATATTATTTGACGAAGCTGTCCTTGGACTGTTTTCGTTCTGTGTCTGATATTGTTTGTTTACCCCATAAAGGAACTAAGTTCATGGTTTAGAAATCTCTGCATTTTTTAATTTTGTAGCATGCTTTCTCTGAGATGTTTGTATCATTTTCAATGCTCCCACTGTAAGAAGGTCAAATGATCGTCAAGCTGCCTGTCGATAGCTTTTTCCCTCGGTCTCTGCCATCAATGAATGGAAATAAAAAGGATACATATACAGGCTGTCACAGAAGAAAATTTACACTGTCTTTTTTGCCGCAAAAATAAACTAGGCATCGCCGAACACTCATTCTCCGCCCAAAGGTAGAGCTAGAGGTCACAACCAGATGCCAAAGTTTCAGCTCGTTCCGATAACTTAATCACAAGTTATAAGTGATTTTCTGAAAATTTCAATGGGTAAATGGAGCCCATTTTTGCCCGTTTTCGGTTTCTGGTGCCATAGAGCCCCATGTGTTTGAAAACTCCGTAAGCCGCCATTTTCCCATTGAAATTTTCAGAAAATCACTTATAACTTTTGATTAAGTAATCGGATCGGGCTGAAACTTTGGCATCTGGTTGTGACCACTAGCTCTACCTTTGGGCGGAGAATGAGCGTTCGGCGATGCCTAGTTTATTTTTGCGGTAAAAAAGACAGTGTAAATTTCCTTTTGTGACACCCTGTATATGAAATTAACATACACTACCAACGGACGACCGCTCCAGTCAAACCGCGACCTCGAAGGTGGCGAATCGACGGTGGAAAGCGCAAAAAGTGTGACAAATTTCACAGTGTTACGTAGCGTACATATTTCCATTTGTTTTGTGCAGTCAAGACAGAGGAATATCCAGCTTGTCCTTTGTTGTATAATCAAACTTTTAAGTGAGACGCGTGCCGTGTTAGAAAGACTTCGGTCAGTGCGAGGTGCGGGCAGAGCCATGGCATGCACCAAACACAGAAAGAGGGCTTGACGTGTTCTTTTGGCCAACCAGAAGCCTAAAAGACTCTCCTTGCAGTGGTAGCGAGAAATAGTTTTAGTCGTAGGTATATGGTTTTAATAAGCGCGTAAGAATTCATGGTTGAAAATAGGGTGCACGTGATGTTTTGATCATGATCACGCAGAAAGATGTAAGAAACGAATGTGCCGCTGAACTCTGTTTTGGTCGGACAGTGTGTGACCGCTCGGACTGCAGATTCCCGGCCCTCGGCGCTTGGCGTACGGATTATGTCGATCGTTCCGCTAGTTGCGCTCTTCCACTATGATTTTGAATTACCGTGATTGAAACATCATGTGCACCATGTTTTCAATCACCGAGAGTTACTCTGAGGCATTTATTAAGTTTGTTTCTCATGACCACTGCCAGGGTATTATTTCCGGCTTCTGGGTGGCCACATTTGAGTTTTTTTGAAGATGCCCCGGAACACGCCCAGCCCGCTTTTGGGCCGATGGCGCCTCCTCACTTGTCTCCTATACTTCCCCAATGAATGGCCAAACTCTCTATACATGGCTCTGCCGCCAGGGGTGTCAGGTCCGAAAAGATCAACTGTCGAGCCAGTCCCTCACAGATGCTGAAGAAGACATTTCCACTGCCAACTAAGACCGAAACTTCTTGGGCATGCAACACATAAATCCGTCCAAACGTCAACACAACACAACACAACACCGACAATGCCATCAGAACCTAACGTAACGAAACTATGAAACAGCTTCCACCCTATCCCTATGACTGCTGCATTGAAGGGGGACGTCGAAATAATGAAGCCACTATTTTGACCATTTTGTTCTTAGCCCGAGACTGAGGCAGGAAAACAAGAAAGTTTCAAAGTAGAAGAAAAATGAACAGTCAAGGACACGTCTCTAACACAGCTAAAGGCAAGTTTATTTGGTCACCCTCTTATATACACTCCACGAACTTCACCACAGAACCTTCTCGACCTCCAAAGCCAAAAGATAACAAAGGTCTCATCTCTTTCCACCACAATTGTCAAGCGACCTTGACGTTTTCCACAAAGCAACACACCCCAGCTCCCCTCACTCGGAAGTAATTGACTCAATCCTTCGCATACATAGCACACCCTCCCCCTCTATTCTCCGGGCCACAAACACAAAGCATCCCGGCAACAAAAGATACCAATCAAAGGAGGAAACCACTTACACCCTTTCACATTCAACAACCACTTTACAAAACTCAAATTCGCAAGAATGTTTTTGCACTGCTGCTAAGCTGTAACGGGCTCGGTCTCGGGCTAAGAACAAAATGGTTAACATCCATCAGCTCGCCTGCGTAATCACTACATTATCATTGACTATTTTGACGTTTTACGAAAGTGATGTCACGGACGTTTAGTAACTATTTTGACGTCCACTTTCAAAATAATTTTGGATATTATTTGGACATCTGTGACGCCACTTCCTGAAGATGTGAAAATATTTTTGTCTTTATTTTGACTTCTCAAAGTTGGAGATTCGGAGCCCAGACTGGGGAGCGATCGGATGTGGCGGTCAAAAAAATATCTTGCTTGCAGGCAGCGTTGCAGTTCGGCACGCATTTTCCGAAAACAAATGTCATGCAGTTGACTGTTGTTTCTATAACTTTATAAATAATGTGGAATGCAAAAAAAAAAAAAAAATATTGAAGTACATTAGCTATTAGGTTGCAGGTAACGTTTACTTGGTTGTGCGAAACAATACAGAATGCTGCACCGCTGCCTTTCGTGATTTATTTCACATGATTTATATAGACAAAGGAGCTGAATGCTGTGCCATAGAAGTTGCAGTTGATTGTAAAATGCGTGTATCTTGTACAACCGCGCCAGATGCTTTGTTTGTTCGCACCATTCAAGAAACATGTCAAGATGGCAGTGTTTCTATTCACAACCTTTTATTAAACATCCCTATCGTTTCCTAGTTAACTCACTCATTATACATGAACTAAACAGAAAATCTTAACTAAACAATGAACTCGCGAAACCCGCTTAACAGGGTGGGAGCCAGATGCAAAAATGAGACTGCAACCATACGAAGATGCGCTTGCACGAAATAAAGGTACACAAAGCTAGCCAACTTTCTTAGTGCTACGTAATGTACGCAATTACATTTGTTACGTGCAGGCAAGACGTAGAGATATCCAGCTTGCCTCTGTTGTAGATCGAAAATTTTAAGTGAGATCCTTGCCGAGATGGGAGCTGAGAACGCCCAGAACATTGCCACCGGGCGTGTCACGTACGAAAGGATATACTGTCGCGCCAGCTCCACACACTGAATAACACATTTCCACGGCCAACTAGGAGCCAAACCTTTTAGGTTTCCGTGAATCCGTCAAAACGCCAGCACAACACCATCAGAAACTAAACAGAACAACGTTGAAATAATAAAACCACAATTTTGGCATTCTACAGAGTCACAGACATCGAAATCATTTTTGAGATATTTTGACGGTGGATGTTGAAATAATCACTACCTTGAAATAATTTGTGAGATTTTGATGGGGGACGGTTGAAATAGTCATTGCCTTATTCATTTGACCAAAATTATATAGCCAGTGTGATGTCACTTTTGTGAAACGTCCAAATAAGGGCATTATTATTTTGACGTCCCCCGTCAATGTAGCCGTTTTCTGTTTTGTTTTGGTTTGTTTCGGATGGCGTTGTCGGTGTTGTGTTGACGTGTTGACAGAGTCCTGTGTTACGTGCCTGAGTTTCGGTGGGACTGGCTCGACGGTTGATTCTTTCGGACGTGATACTGGTTTCCCGCCCGGCGGCGATGTATCGTGATGGATGTTAAAACAATGCATACAATCATTTTAAACCAGGATATCGAAATAGTCACTACCTTATTTTATTTCCCTGTTATCTCGATTTATCCATCAGTATTCAGTTGCACAAAACCCTTTTGCCTCGGGGATTTTTTTGCAATGTATCCATACTAACTAGGTGGTGCGAGACACCGCCCGATTCAGAGACTTCAGATGCGTTTATTGATTCATCATTCGTTTAGATTTTCAGATCACAAGCTGTCACAAATTTGGGCAACAAGCAACAACCGCCACAACTGAAGGCAGCAGTCCACATGTCAAAGTGAAGTAGGTTTCATGCTCAAAGACTTCTCGACCCATTCAACAAAGAGGTACTGTCTTCATTAGGTGTGTTCAATATGCCGAGAAACTGTGAGAGAAAGGGACGTCAGAATGCCAAGCTCTGATTCGAATGATTAAGCGCGGCTCAAATCGACATGTATTCCAGATTCGTGTACCTAAACACATAAAAAAAGAAATGTGTTCCGGCGTATGTATAAGGAGCGAAATGTTACTTCTTGGTTTGGAGGGCCGTACAGAAAGCATGGGCGTATTCGGAATAAGGCGAAGAAGGGAAAGGATCCGTAGCGCAGCGGAGGCTGGCGATGGTACTTCGTGCCCACGGGTGTAATGCAGCCGCTACAAGTGCCTCCGCTGTCGAGAAAATAGTGCGTCGTCTGCTCTGCGTCAGGATGACATTGGCAACGTCGATCGGTTTCAGGTGCAAGGCTTGGCGCCGATCGAGCGGACCGACATCGTCGAGAGGCGGCAAAAGTACCTTCTCTACTTGGCACGAAAAGGAGAAGTGGGACGAAAAAGATTAGGCTTCCTGTCGTTGAAACTAAAATGGTGACGGCAAGACGCGTTTGTAACTTTGTCCCACGAAGCCTTAATGTGCGACAATGGTAGGATGAGGTAATCGCATTGCTTACCTGATTCTCGTTCAACCAAGCCAGAACTTTTGTTTGTTCGCACCGGTCTAGGACGATTAAGGATGCAGTGTTCGCATTCACCTTTTATTTAAAAATCTTATCGTTTTGTTGTCAACCTGATCGTTGTACACAAATCAAAAAGGAAATTTAAACTAATCAAGGAATCCAGGAAACACGGTTAAAAACAGGGCGGGAGTCATCAAATGCAAGGCGAGACTGCAACCGTAAAACGACGCATTTGCACGATGTGGAGGCACAAAAAGCGTGCCAAACTTCTTAGTGTTGTGTACGCACTTACATTTGTTACATGCAATACAAAGGAATATTCAGCTGGTCTTTGTCGTAGATTCAAAATTATAAGTGAGACGTGCGCCGAAATGAGGTTTTGAGCTCGGAACATCGTCGCCGAGTCTATCGCGTCTGAAAGGATCAACTGTCGAGCCAGTCCCATGCACACGCTGATGACATTTCCTCTGCCAGCTAGGACCGAAACTTCTTAGGCAAGCAACGCATGCCTAAGAAGAACAACACCATCGAAAACTAAACAGAAGGAAACACGGAACCGCTCCCACCGTGATGGCAGCAAGAAATTGTGGGAAACTGCAAGCAGAGAGAGAGAGAAATGCCAGAGAGGAGGATTAACACGATCAAAATAACAAGGCTGTCCCTATTCACTCTTCGAATGCAGGTAGTGGTGGATTCTAAACTGCACTTCGAGTGCAGATTGTGTTGAATTGTTATCCGCACTCCGAGTGCGGATTGTGTTGGATTGTTATCCGCACTCCGAATGCGTGAGTGCAGATTGCGTGCAGAGGCTTGGACACTTTGCTGGAGGTGCTAAGACGTTGGTACGAAGCGTACGAAGTGTGCATGATTTTCTCTATCCGAACTCCGCGTGCGGCGGGATTTTGTTGCGTGAAACTTCGACCACAGTAGTTTGGAAGTTCCCAGCTTTGTGTTGTGACCAGTCATCGGCATGTTTCTGCTACAGTGTAACAATGTTACAGTTACAGCTATTCAGGGAGAAAAAAGTAACCCTGCTACAGTTACAGCTAAAAAATTGAAAGAGTAACTTGTTACAGTTAGTTACTTTGCTAAGGTAATGCCTTTACTTGGTTGTTACTTTACAAAAAATACTAGAAAGTACTAAAAAGCAACCTTCCTTAATATACCTTTAAATTGGCAGATATTTTTCACGAGACATTGTTTTGTTCATGGTAGTGAACCTGATCTTTTGAGAGACTAAGAGTTCCCCAATAATGAATCTTAACATGGTTAATTTTTCCTATTTCAATTTTTACCATAAACAGCTTCCTGAAGAAGATCATAATTTTAGACAGTATTGGGGTAAATTCACTATATAATAAAGCATTTATAGTTTTTTTTCTTTGGCAAAATTACAGGCGACTTTAATTTTTCGCAATTTTAAGCTAGCAGATACCCAATTATGTTCCATGAAGTACTTTAAAATAAGTGCGACCACCATAAGGTATACACGAATACAAAAGCATGCGTCTAGATCTCACGTGATCCAATCATGGCATGAGTTTAGAATCGGTCAATTCTAATTTCAAATTTCTTAGGTGAGGCTAAATGGGACAAAAACAATAAAAATTGTGCAAATGTGAAGTCAATAGTAATATGGGTCATTCCTTGCCATCAGCTTTGTAGATGTTTTCTTGTGCCACTCTAATCCAGTCGTCGGTCGAACCGTTTTTTACTGTGTGTGCACAATCTTTCATGAAACACGAAGTGTCCCTTGAAAACCTCAAGAGGAATGTTGCAGCAACATTCCTTCGTCGAATCCGCTTAGGACGGCAGCGATGCAGAAGCACTGATCGAGGTACGAACAACCGCTGCGTGTAGAATTCCCAACGGCTGTTGCAATCTTTTCTCTGTCACTTCCTTACCAGATCGGGCATGCTTGCCCTTCTCCATCTCGCCAGCCCAAATGCGAAAAGCCCAAGACGTGAATATCTATATAAATCAACTGATGCCAAGTGCCCCTGGTCCCAGCTAAGGGCGTTCTTTCAATTTCAAGAAAACAAACAAGCAGAGCGGCACAGACGTTTCGAGTGAACACTCTTTTTCAAGTGATGGGACCCGTGAAACAGAGCAACAGGTGACAACAAGTAGATGACGTGAAGCAAAACAAACAAATAAATAGTGAAAAAAAAAAGAAAATCGATTCGGACAGAAATGTTTTTATTCTCCCAGTTGGTGGGACCAGCTTGGCCAAACAGGGTAACCCAAAAATTTGTTCCTTTTTACTTTTATTTTTCCTCGTGTTTCAGATGGTTTCTGCAGCAAGTTTTGCTGGGTCCTTCCCGTATCAGGACTTGAAACTTTCTCTCGAGTTGCGAGGCGATTTGGCGGTCGTGTTTTGCAATATATTTGTGCATAAATCTGACAAATAACCGTAACGACGTTACTCTTTACAGTTACTTTAGAAAAACAGTAACCCTGTTACAGTTACAAGTTATTTCCACTAAGAGGTAACGAGTTACAAGTTACTGAAAAAAGTACCTAGATACCGGTAACACATTACTAGTAGCTAGTTACTGCCCAAGACTGGTTGTGACACTGGCGTGTCAGCAGCCTCGACGAGTCTATGGAAATATTAGTAGTTCTGCCGTGTTTAATTGAGTGGAGGCCTGTGTTTCGAAATTAAAATAATTTCAAACAAATTTTTTGTTTGACTAGCTTGTTTTGCAGTTGGTTTTCTAGTTATCCGGGCGGAAGACCTAACAGAGTGCTGTATGAAGGGTGTTTTTCTGCCTCATATGTTTTAAATACTGGAGTGCCTCAAGGGTCCAATCTGGGGCCATTGTTATTCAACATTTTTGTCAATGATTTGGTAGACAGTGTGCAACATTCAAAGGTGCTGCAGTTTGCAGATGATGTGAAGAGTTTTCGGCGAAATTCTTTCAACTACTGACTGCCTAATAATGCTAAGCAATGTTCACACAGTTCTAAACTGTTGCGCTTGAAAAATAATTTGGCACTTAACCCCAAAAAGTCCAAGGTTGTTTCCTTTATGCAAAAGACGAGCTGCATTGAGTACTCGTTTATGATGTTAGGTTCAGCTATTGCGAGGTCAGATACTATTAGTGACCTGGGAGTGCTTTTTGATTCCCGCCTTTCGTTTACTGAGCATGTTTCGAAAGTTGTGAATGATTCTTATCAGGTGCTAGGCATTATTTCCCGAATGAAGCGGAATTTTCATACTTACGCTAGCATGATTAATCTATTTTGCTCCCTTGTTTTATCTAAACTTGAGTTCTGCTCAGTCGTATGGAACACCATTGGATCGACTCAGTCATGTATTTTAGGAAATGTGCAGCGTCGTCTCGTGCGTATTGTTTGATAGATGGGTTGGGAGGTACATCTATTTTGATTATGAATACTTAGTCTGCTTGACCTGGTACCCTTGCACAAATGAAGATTAATGCGAGACATGACTTGTTTTGTATAAAATAGTGAACGCTACAATTGATGCACCTTTGCTTTTAAGTGCAATTTCTTTCAGTGTTCCTCAAAGACATGTCAGATTTTCATTTCTTTTCTACCCGCAGAAAGTTAGTGTCGCCTTCAGCGCCTCTAAAATCGCAATAGGAGTGATTTAGAATTGTTTTCACCCCTTTCAAATTTTAGAAAAGCATTGTTGGCTGCTTGACAAACATCTGTGCTTTGTTGTTCTCTATAGTTTTATTTATTTCCTTTTATCTTTTCTAAATCACGTCTTGCTTGATTGTTTGTCTGTATCTGTTCTTTTATTGTTTGTAATATGTGCACACTAATAAGGCCTCGAGCTGTGTGTGCGCACATTAAAAAGAATAAGTAAATAAATAAAGCCATTAATTAGCATGGGTGGCGCACTTGAGATTAATCGATACTCAAACTTTGGGGATCTTGGAGAAGAAGACCCAGCGACCAGTGTGTGTGTATGGGGGGGGGGGGGGGTTTAATTCTCTTGCTCACCCCAATTCAGTGATATCTTGAATGGACGAGCTCTCCCCCCCCCTCAAAAAAAAAAAAAAGAAATCCTGGCAATTACTTTTTTTTTTTGTAGCGTTGACCATTTTTACTGGCGAAAGAAAAAGAAAAGAAATTGGAGCTGGTGTAAGATTTTTGACTTGTATTGTCTTGTGCTTATCAATGATGGGGGCAGTGGCGTAGAAGTGGGCGGGAAAATCAGTCATTTCCAGTAAACAATAATTATAAGGAAAAGAGTCCCCCTCCCCATCTTCAAAACACTTTCAACACTGCTAGGTGGGAGAATGCCTGAAAGGTCCCTGGCATTTGTTATTGTAGCTTCTTTTAAAATTAATGAATTGCGCATTCGTAAGTAGACATCAATAGATGTGATGGCTGTTACAAGTTGTTTTGTTGGGTTATGT